GAAATCAAGGTATTTTTGACTGCTATCAAGAGCCAGATTTATTAGAGAGCAATCCACTAAAACCTAAGGAGCACTTACCGAGTCATAGCTCTGTCTGGCCGCTCACATAGGGTCAGCAAAACACCTAAGGGCTGCTCTGAAAGGGTCCCCTACTACCATAATACCTGACCTATTTTTTGTATAATTGATGGGTATCCTGTACCCCTAAACCCTATCTCCTAGAAACAAGTTGACCGATAAAATTTAAAAAGACTATAGTGTCTGAGTGACTGAAGCCCAAATATATTTCTACTCACCATACGCCAAGAACCAAACACTAAGATGGAAATTTTATCCTGCCACACTACATAGGGGGTCATACTACATCACACCTAGACGAGGAGTGAAAGTGAGTGAAAAGGTAACAAAGGACAGCATTTTAAAGCGCTAACAAATTATATAATACTTGCAAAGAAATATTTGTCAGCTGCTAAAAATTATCTTGATGCTTATGTATTATTCATTTATGAGTCCTGAAACATTCTATAGCTGTAAGTCCTGCAATAGACACCAGATCGTGCTCTTGGCTTATCTTTTGGCAGGTTGTAACACAATTGTTTATGTTGTGGTGGTAGGAGAGGAGCTGCTGCTAGATGCCTCTTTATACCAGAATATCCAGGGGGAAGCAAACGTAATTTTTCCAGCATTAAGGTGAAGAAGGCTGTGATTTGCATAGGGAAAGGTTTGCGACAATACAAGGGAGACAGCACAACTCATTAAAAAAAGAATATTTCCAACAAAAAGATTGGTTAGTCAGGGGTACTTACTGCCCATATACATGAGATTATTCGTTATGAAAACAGGCAGCTGCTATACAAGGCTTGTAGGTAGATATTACGGGTAAAATAGTAAATGAATAAAACATATATCTAAATCTCAGCTCTGTCATTGGTGACATTTTAAATTAAGGGTGATATGACCTGCACACAAAAACCAAAACCGATTAGTGTAAAAAGAGCCAGAATAATATGCAATGGAAAAATTACAGGTTGGTGGTTTAATGCTGATGCTGCCATCACTCACATATGAATGTCTTAGGGTGTTACAGAAACATGGGAATCAAAGAATTATTAGAAATGTGTGTCAGGTTTCAAATCGTTATCTTCTGGTGTCAGAATCTTAGCGCCATATTATTTCCGAGCAGCCCTGTGACATTTTGACTGAAAGTATCCCAGTATAGGAGGTGGCCGTGCTTGTTATTACACCAAATTGAAAGGGTGCTGAGTTCCCATTGTGATAATGATATGTAGTGTATAGTGATATGTGTTTATCGTTAGTAACTGATATATAGCAAACCGTTTAATATGTCTTCATATAGACACATAGGTTCCTATTGTCCTACCTTCTCACACAAAGGCTTCCTTCTCCCACTAACTACTTCCCACCACTCTACAATCACTGTGCAATTACATCATGAACAATAGATGAAAACTGAACTGGCAGAAAGATTGCCTATGCTCAGTTGATAAGGCATGTGCAACTTCATAGCATCCGTGAAAGAAAAACAAACAAAAGTTAATCCAAGAGCCCACAAAGCATGAGCAGAGTTACAAAGAAAATAATCTCTAGAGAGGATGTGCGCTATTACTCTGACCACATCCAGTGCTTGGCTAGCATCAACTGTGCTTGAACTATACTAATTATCTGCTAACATGTTAAATCAATTTGTAAAAGTAGAGCAAAACATGTATAGCATATGTTTGTTTATGTGATGTCTCTTCAAATCTACAATGTGTGGTTTTGCATTTGTGACTGGTACTCTTACCTTTACACATGTGACTGGACTGGTAAAGGTACCTTCACACATCATTCATTAAATAGTGCTCAAATATTTATATCTCATCTCTTGAACTCTGGAAAAAGTCAGGAGGATCACAAAGAATTAGTCACCTGTATTGCCTGTGATCTCCCTGAAGATGATATTTCCCCCTTAATAGCTTGCCATGCCTTGTTCTTCACTGTCTTTTGGAGGTGGCCATCTTGGTAGAGACAGATTTTTTTTTCCCCAGGAAGGAGAACAGTGAGCAGCACAGTCAGGGGCATTGAAAGGATTGTGAAAGACCTGGGGCATCCTTGGGCACCCAGAGAAGAATAATAAAGTGGAGCACCACATGATACGCTGGGTGTGGCCAAATGGGAATGTGAACAGTGGGAGGATTTTAAAGGGCCATGTTTAAATAAAACCTGTGTCTACTTGCTGTAAACATGGCAGACAGATGCCACAGTCCTTGTACCCACACAATGTGCTTTAGTTATAGTGCCACAAGTTAAAACGTAATCAATCACATACAACACTCAATCATTTAAAAAAAAAAAATGAAACTCTTCCATTACATATGTTTTTTTAGCCTACTTTTAAGGAGAACTTCATAAAATAGTCATGACTACTTATCAACCAGCAGCTGCTAAGGCAATAAACACTCATCATAAAAGTGTAATGTAAAATATGGCATAAAAGCATACAAAGTGCAGTGGTCTGGGGTATGTTATATATAGCTAAGGCATATAGAGTGCAGTGGTCAGGAGTATGGAATGTACAACCAAATGTATATAGTACAGGGCCCCGGAGTATGTATCGCACAGGACGCTGGGCTGAGGAGTGCATATTGCACAGGGTTAGGTCTCAGGAGTGTGTATGGCACAGAGCGCCAGGCTGAGGAGTACATATTGCACAGGGTTCAGGTCTCAGGAGTGCGTATATCACAGGTTGCAGGGCTCAGGAGTGCTTACCGCACAGGGTGCAGGCCTCAGGAGTGTGTATAGCACAGAGCGTAGGGCTCAGGAGTGCCCACTGCACAGGGTGCAGGGTTCAGGAATGCGGGAGCTCAATCCCTACCCCCCTCCTTCCCCCAGTACAGTGTTTTCCGTTCCTCCCTCTACTCACTAGACCACAGATGCAGTGGCAGTGCATTGTGAGAGAAAGGCCTGCACTCGGCGGGTTATGTGATCAAAGCGGAGGAGTATGCTAGAATGCTGCTGTATCTGATGTCTGACAGCAGAAGAAGCTGATACTACAGTGCGGGTGGTAAAGGCAATGCAGTGTGGAAACGGTACAATTTTAAAAAAACAGCCGGCGGCTGCAACCTGTGGACTCAGGGCACCCCACACAAGGTGCAGGGCATGTGTCCTGGGTGCCTGGCACTAGCAACGCCCATGAACACAGTAAGGACATCACTAACTCTCACAACACATCTCTTAAGAGTAGCAGTCAGAGACACAGTGCCTTAGATCTCAAGCTGTAGTTATACAGCTATGGTGCTGCAGGCACAGAAGTATTTAGGCACACTAACATACTAATTTCTAAATGTTTATTTCACTTTTCGAGTTCAGGTCCACTTGAAATCCCAACTTCAGCAAAATTTATATTTTTTTGTATTGAGTGGATAAAGGTTAGAGCTTTTATTGCCATCTGTGTTCCTACTGGAGAGATTTTGCCTCACTTCCTTTCATGATTGGATATTTCCCTAAGAGGACACAGACAAAAAAACATTTTCAGTAGCATGAGGAAGGATTAAAACATCTGACAAAGTAAATATTGCTGTCTATGCCATCCTGTCCCTGTGATAACTGCTCCCTCCATTTCTTGCACTAGTGTTACAGGGAAATGAACTGGGGAAAAATCAATGGGGTCACAGACAAAGATAAAAGTCAAACTGAAATTTTAATTCTCCCCACTCTAGCTTTAAAAAATGTATACACCTTTATACTAGAGAATGGCAATTGCCATTTTTTACCATCAACTGTGCATATAATGATCAAGATAGACTGTTGATTGTGATCTAATGAGACCTTTAAACATGCATAAGCAGCACTATAGGTAAAGTCAGACTTATGCATGTGAATCAATCTTTTATTTTTGTAGAATGCAAACCCTAGATGTTGCTTGCCAGTTGGTCTTGAAAATAGGGCAGCAGGACCAGAACAACTGATCACTCATCAGACTAATGTAATGTGTAATATTGGAGCTTTAAAGCGGACCTTTACACTCAAAGATCAAATTATACCAATGCATACCTCTATGTAAGATGATTAATAATAACATAGACATGCTAGGTGTGAAATGCTGTAATTGTGAAATACTTACACTTGCAGAGCATTCACTTCCTGGTTTGAAAGTGCAAATTACTTCAGTTTGCCAAACCAATGCACACTGGGATTGCCTTGTCATCAGCAGAGCATCGCTGGGAAATCTCATCTCGGTGAAAGGCATTTTCCTCCCCTGAGATGATGTGCATGGTCACATGTCTAGTCACATGTGCCAGATTTCTAGGAAGTAATAGGAGAGCTAGTCACTTGCCCTTAGTAAACATGGCCTCTGTCAGAAGACTGGGGAAGTAAAGAAAAATAAGGTATGCAAAAAATAAAAGGCCAGCAATTATCTAGAAGTATGTGCTTGTAGATTCTCATTACTAAACATTTCTAAAGGTGTGTTTGTTGTTATTTTAAAGATATGGGTAAAGGTTCGCTTTAAAAGCATACTGAAAATGTACTGGGACTGACCAAAAGACAAAGGTCCTGTTAGCTCATTTGCATTTAGGTTTAGGTGTGCTCTGGATCACCGCTAATATTCTGCTGATTGGTCATTAAGGCTTACTGCAAAGAATGAGAATCTTAAATAGATGAGTCCTGCTATACTGACTGTAAAAAATCATGGCAAAGAAGTTGAACTTATCTTTCTTCCCTGATTGTGCCCTTAACTCAGAAGATTAAAAATGTGAGAATTACCTACCACCTACTTCATGATTTGGAGATAAATGTAATGAGTAGAATATGATTTAATATGATACATATATAATATTAGTTTTCTCTATGTTTTCTTAATTTATATAATGTAATTAATTTGTATTAATGATCCAATAATGAATGGAAGATAGTGCTTGCAAAGAAGCATTCTTGATCCCTGATCTGAGGAGAGATTTTAGTATAACTGCACAGTTTCAAGTTATGAATTATTTTCACAGGTGTTCCTGGTGCAGGAGTAGCTGGCGTAGGTGGTCAATACTATCCAGCAGGAGGCGCTGGGGCATATCCAGGTACGATCATTTTGACCTCTGCTACAACACTGTATGGTCTTTCACATGTTATAGAAAACCCATTAAGTGACATTCAGTAGTTTGTATGTCTGTCTAAAAAGTCAAAAGCAAAATATATTTACCTTTTCTGGTTTTATACCATGTGCTATGGGAGAAAGCTTTCATGCCTTAGTAAAGAAAAGCTTTCCTTTACAAACCTATTAATATTAGTTTTAAGAAGAACAAATAATTACTTCTAACTGAGTGCTGTAAAAAAGACAGTTTTTCTGTAAATAAAAAGTTTTTATGTGTGTTTTTCTTAAAATCAGGGGCTGGAGTGGGAGCCGGAGGAATACCACAGGGAGGAGTAGGAGGACTAGGAGCAGGAGGACTCGGAGGAGCAGGTTAGTATGCTTATCCAAAAAAATTATAGCTGAATATATCTGTGAAGCGCTGATATACTGGAATTGCCATATAGAGGCAGCTACCAGGATGGTTTAATGGGATGGACTAAGTGTCTATTACTGATATGAAGATGGAATCCTCTGACATAAATGTGTATGTGTAGGATAATAGGATGTGGTCTGTTTGTCTTCCCTCAACATCTGTCATAGCTTCCTTTGGGTGCAAGAATATGCAGACCATATTGTTCAGAACCCTGTCAGTTCTGTACACACAGCTGAGCAGTGAATGCAAAGCATGGCAAGGTTTCCCCAATACAATTAAAACATGCAGTGGGTACAAGCTCCAGTGTAAGCTCCATATAATGGGATATTACATGTTACATATTACATGGAATGATTAACATGTTTAATTTAATAAATATTAACAAAAACATTGTTTTTACCTAGGGTTATATCCCGGAGGAAAACCACCCAAACCAGGTGGGTAGATCTGTACTGTGAGTTTTAGGCACATTGTAAGTGTGTAGTTTTCACTGCAGATTTCACCATGGTGACGTAATAAACAAGGCATGATAAACTGTGCTATAACATGTTTCACAGAGAGTACAAGAAAGTTTTCATAACATTGTAAGTCCAATGTTTAACTCATAATATATTGATACATTGCTTTATTCCCAAATGTAAGAAACTAGAGAGCTCTGTAATAACTTTTGCTCCGTGTGGAAAGCCAAGCAAAACACAGTTATTTGGACTTCAAATAGTAATGAATATGTAATTATCATAGTATTTTCATTACTGTCAATGAATTAATGTCACAAGGGAACTATAATTACCTTACATTTTTAAGTCCTAGGATGTATGCTATTTGGCTATTTCCTTTTAATAAGTGAGTTTTAACGCAGATGTTTTTGGCCTGCTTAATTGTAACCTCATATTATTTCTATGACATGATCATAGCCAGAAGTACAGAGAAAGCTTTGCAATATTACTTATTCTGATGTTTTACATCCATTTATGACAGGTGTTGGAGCTCTTGGTGCAGGAGGTCTTGGAGCTGGTGGCGTAGGAGCTGGTGGCGTAGGAGCTGGTGGCTATGGAACTGGAGGCCTAGGAGCTGGTGGCTATGGAACTGGAGGCCTAGGAGCTGGTAGCTTAGGAGCTGGCGGCTATGGAGCTGGCGGCTATGGAGCTGGCGGCTATGGAGCTGGTGGCAAGCCACCAAAACCAGGTTGGTTATATAACGAATTACCATATACCTGCAGTACAGAGTATGATCTTAGATGCACATCACAATATTTATTATAAATGCAGAAACATTCTATAAATTAATTGTCAGAAACTGATTAGTATAAAGGGCAAAATAGTATGTTTACATTAAACCGTAACCTTTATCTGTGAAATATACAAAGGTAGAATTGCATTTGTTTCTATTTTATGTGAATTTGAGTGAATCAAAACACAAAATTGACAACACAAAGCCTTAATACATTTCCTAATAGACAACACCAGTTGCTATGTTAATATATATTACAGGTATTTTACCTAATATTTTGCTATTGGTGCATTAAAATATAGTATAAAAATAGCAACCATATTTTATGTTTCGGACTGTCCTAATCTAATTGATTGGTTACTATTGATATGATTGACTAAACTGTGTTACTTTGCTTTGCACGTCAGCTCTGCCCTTTCAATTACCTTATTATATATGCCTGATAAGTGACAGAACAATATTTTAACATAAGCCTGTCATATTTGTACTTTACATTATCTAACTTCATATTCTAGGTGTGTGCTTTTCTTTTCACCACAGATACTACCCATTTAAATTACATTAGTTTGGAAATCCTCAAAGAATTGACAGTGGGTTGCTTTTAAGTTACATATAAGAGGATTTTAAACATTCTTGTAAGTGTAGAAATATGCAATGAAATCTGTTGCAGCCTTTTTATATGCCATATAAATAAAGCACATCATAAAACTGCAGTTAAACAGTTCGTGGATTTAATAATGCTTTAAAATAATAATAATAAAGCCATCACACCTTTGCCTTTTTCTCTCAACAGGTTATGGACCAGGAGGCCTTGGAACTGGTGCAGGTGGGTTTGGTGAGTTGACCTTGCTTGTTGACAGGCTCATTTCAGGCTGTTCTGGGTTTTTCAAGGTTTCAGTATTACATCAGTTACTACATTAAAGCTAAACCTCAGTCTGATATAAAAAAAACACATAAAGACAGCTCTGTAACGAATAATAAATCATTGTACTTGTTTATTAATTTTATTATGCAATTAATTTAAGTGCCTGAACTTAACTTAAAATTAGTCGCTTGCAATCCCCTGTACAGCAGCATTTAGACTGAGAGAGGGAGGATCAGCTGTGCTGCAAGCAAATGTGCTGACAAGGAACACACTGAATGATGAAGAGGTCAGAGTAAACAGAGAGATGCCCTCATCCGTCTGCTACTGCTCCTTCATTGTCCAATGGGTACAGTGTGTTCCTTAAATACAATGAGATATTGCCTATGCAGTCTGCCATGAATGTAAATCTTTTGGCAGGTACAACAGCTCTCATATACAAAATTAATTTGTGAATTTAGATTTTTGTCTGGTCAGCTAAAAATACATGCTTGCATTTTTCTACTATATAGTGTGAATACTTGTTTCAAATGTATGTATAGTGTTTTGTATATATTTTATTTTTTATTCTTTTTTTACATTTTACATAAGAATTTCTTTCCTATGTTTTAACATGCTTACCTGTCTATTCCATGCTTTTGTAAAAAAAAAAAATGTTATTTACAGGACTCAAGTGCTTAAGCACAGATTTTTCTGCCTGCTATGTTAAGACCAGCACAGCGTACACAGAGTTTCAGTTAGAAAGAGTCAGAAAGAAAACAGCTCTTGCTGCTTTCTGACATAATGCTCTGTGAATTCTGTTTTTTTTTGATGAAGCCTAAATGATATGCACATGTGCAAAACACGCTTTTTGCAGTTTATAAAAATTAAGATAAAATTGACATAAGCCCATTAAAGTTTAAGCCGTGTGCTGCATTTCAAAAGATAGGCATGTTTATAATATTTTTTTTTTTGGCTTTATTAAGAAAATAGCTGTCAAACAGCTTGCAACGTCTGTAAAAAGAAGAATAAAACAACAGTACATAAAAAGTAGAAACATTTAGTCCAGTAAAAACAGGCCGTGTTATGTAAAAGACGTAGGGAGTCTGGGGGATATTTAAAAAAGTGGAAATAACACTTACAAATAAAATAAATTAATTACTAATGCAACAGCTTACTGACCAGCAGTGTACAACCCTGGTGCTTTTCTAGGTGCTCCAGGGGCTCAAAAGGCAGAAGCAAAGCCAACAAAAGCCCAAGGTATGAAAACTATCTGCACATGGGAGCATAATGTGCAGATAACTGTGGCAAAATGCCCAATGGATGTGAAACATTTCTCTCGAAATGTTTCACTCTTGGCTAATTCTAGCTGAATAGTCAAGCCAAGATCATACATCTGTTGCTATAATACATTTATTTAGTATGAATGTAGATATAAATAATTATATAGTGCAGTACTTCACTCCTTGAGGGCCATGAACCTCACACAGTTTTAATTTCTCCAGTGAAATACTTAATAATGTGCTACATTAGGTATGGTTAATTTAATTGACCAAATCTATTGTGCCAGTTGTAATCCATCCCTCATGATGTGGCCCTCAAGATCTGGAGTTGTGTAATTCTAATACCCCTACCTTACTGCCTTGTGCTTGTTGAATTCCTCCTAACTTTTCCATGTATTTATTGTGTGTTGATGCTGTAGTAGCTTTAAGTAGCTTATTTCATTAGTTGCAAATAGTTATTTTGCTTATATGCTTCAAATCTGCATTTTTTAAATCTATTTTTTTCTTCTACCACTCTGTCTTCCATGTATGTAAGTACCAGTATCGTCTTAAGGCATATTTGTCTCTTAAATGGGGGAAATGATTGTGGAGGCTTCAATAGACTGATTATATATTTTATCACGCGTATATTTTTCATGTGAGCCATGGATGCCTAATACTAGATACCATAAAATTGGCAATACAACTTAAACACTGGCTAATTGTTCTGAAATGTAGACTATTAAAACAAAACAAAAAAAACAGAAGAAAATTATTATATGGCAATCTTTTTGCATCAAATGTGTTATCAGCTAGCCAAATCAGTTAAATAACCCTTATCCTTCTTTATCATTAGATGCAATACACAATCTAAGGTAGTCATTGTGGTAGGGACATTACTGACACTATCTTATATAAACTGTTCCATGGTACAGGACTTAGCCTATAATATATGGATTTCACCATTTCCAGCAGGTGAACCAAAATAAAATGAAATTGTTTCAGACCACATGTCAAGAAAAGTTTTGTATTCCTTATGTGGCTCACAGACAAGCAGGTCTGTCAGAAAGAGGGGACATCAACCTCTTATTTCCAAAATCCCGGAAGCCCACCTTGCAAGCTCAGGTGATGCTCAGCAAGAGTGAATGACCAAATAAAGGATCTTTTGCTTGACTTTGGAAAAATAATGACCCCCAAAGCAGATGAATGTTTAGCTTGTTAAAGCTTATCTGTGAGTGGAAAGTCACTCACAGAAGCTATAGTCAGTTTTAAGGTTTCTAACACAGCCATGTCACAAATTGACACACATAGGTCAATTTTGGCAGTACTATAATCTTACATAAAATATTATTGCAAGAAAAATGCATCCCAACAGATGTGTAGAACATTTTTATAGATTGCTGGAGTAAAAAAGAGTAGTGCAGTTCATCACTTGGTCCAGATATCAATATATTGTTTGGAAGGTGGAAAGAAAATTATATATTCCTAATTTCTCAGATCAACTTTACATTACATAGCAGTCATAAACTGCTAAGTGTTCATAATCTTTATAGCTCCTTTGAATGTTCCAATGTCCCAGAAGTAATGTTCACAGAGTACTTGATTAAAAAAATTCCCCTAATGATTGAGCGTTTGAAAAGTGATGTCATATTACAGTACTAACTGATTCAAGAAAAGAGACAAAGCTACATAAAATGATTTCATGCAGGCAGTTGTTTAGGGGCCCTATGTGTATTTTTATGGATTACACAATCACTAAATAATTCTGAGATTCTTAAAGTTAATCTGATAAACCTTAATAAAACAACCAGATACAGGAGAAAATGAAAATGAGTGTTTATCCAGCACAATAATAAAAATATCACTGGAAATGGTTAGTCAGTTCATGTTGACATCAGCCCGTATCATTGTGGTTTGTTTAACTTGGCTAGTTCCTGTTTCCTGACCCTTATCTTGCATTCATTTGAGCACATTAGTTTAAACCTTCAGCCGTGGATTGGGTGAGAGCAGCCCAGTCCACTTCTTCTGTGGATTACAAATGTTTGCTGATAAAGAATTCTGCATTACAAGCAGTGGATGGAATTTATACTAGACTTCAAACCAAGCCATTTACATTTGATTCCAAGAAATTCACAATTACTTTGGAAATTATAATTTCCTCAGCTCTATCAGAAATGGCAATCATTTTCCATGATTAGCCCCCAGAGAAAAGCACCACTAATGCTTATGTGACATAACGGTATTCATATAAAATTAGTTAACAACACATAACTAAATAAAATGAAGCTGAAGGTTGGGGGCCAAAAATATGGTGAGACTAGACAAGTAATAAATAGTCATTGAGAAATGTTTCCTTTTTTAAAATGCATTTACTGTCACTTCACCAAGTCTTACATGTCATTTAAGGATCATGTTTTGGATGCCATTCAAGACAGATGGACAGATATGTCTGGGTTCCACAATATAAATAAATAAAGGAAGAAAAATCGTTATACACACATAAAACACTTGGACAATACATGGTCCTCCAGCACCAACACATGGAGACACATTGGAGGCTAAATATTGTCCTCACACGTGTAATCCTACCAGAAGAGAGCAGGAACACCCTCTAGGAAGGACATACAGATTTAGTGGATACAAAGTCAGGCATTCAAATATCCTGTAAGCATCCCGTAACTTACGTTCAACATTTATTTCTGATAGGTGGAGTTGGCGGTGTTGGTGGAGTTGGTGGTGTGGGTGCTGGCGGACTGGTACCAGGTAAATAATTTAACTTAGGGGAAGTGTCCACCACATGATTCTATTCTTACTGACCTCTTTACACTGACATGTAAATCAGTTTGAAACTACCATCTTACTGATAACTGATATAATCAATTGGTCTTATACTGTGGTGCAAACAGAAGCGTCCGAAGTACAGTAAACCCTAGCAACCAATCAGAAATAATCATTTGCCAATGAGACTAATGTAAACTGCAATCTGTGCTAAAACAATTTGCACATTATCACAGATCGTTGACATGCATTAATACAGATCTGTGACATGCATTAGTTCATGTCTACATTTGGGTGTTTGGGTTTTCATGTCCACCTTAACAACAATATAAAATAATAAATAGGCTGAATCTAACATGTCAGACAGGGAATGTGGGTTGGCATCCTCTCAATTTAATGTTATCACCCAAAACGTTGTGTTTAATAATTTTTCCTTATTATTCCACCAAGGAGGCGTTGGTGCTGGTGTTAAACCAGGAAAAGGACCAGGTAATACATATATATATATATCACCATTTTCATTATTTCATGTACAGTCTACAATGGTGTCGTATTCATGATAAAATATACTGGCAAAATTATGCTAATGCTGACTTGTTTAGTAGTTTCAAGCTCCAGGCCTTTATTACTTGACCTCTGACCTGAATTAAGCATGTGCAGATCATATCCGGGACCCCTAATATAAACATGCCTATTCAAGATCATTAGCTGATTAAGTAGCAAAACAAGGATACGCTGACAGCTATGAACTTAAAAACAAGTCAACAAAGACAGCTTCCATATTTTTGCCCTGCAGACTCCCTTGAAGTATATGCATTACAACCTTTCTGTATAGCTGAGACTTCCTTTTAAACTAGAGCTGGCCATCATAGCATTTCCCAAAATAAAGTGCTGCCACTGGCTTTCTATAGTTGCCAAAAACTCAAACACAATAGAGATGTGATAGACGGTTTCAATCTCTTTGTTTAGATATTTGAAGCGTCAAAACTTGATTTGTATATTTATGTATTCTTACAGTGAATACTGTTTAGTGAATGTGTCATACATTTCCCTAATGTTTGACTTTGACATCCTGACAGGTGCAGGGATCCCTGGCTTGTACCCTGGGGGAGTAGTACAAGGAGGCGCAGGTCAGTAACCTCTTTTCCCTTTCCTCTGTTCCCACCCTGTTCTGCCAGTTACTATCATGATATCATCTTAGAACATTCCCAGGTGCTTTCTGTGTATCATGAAAAAAGATTTCTGTAGAGTAGCATTATTTAATATCCGTCCATGTATGTTTCTGTCATTTACAAGAATATGCAGCAAAACTAGTTAACACGAGGACTAAATTACATCTACAGTGAAAAAATACAAAAAGCTGATCATTAAAAGGTGTCCCTGGCCTGGTCTCAACGTAACAAACAGATAAAACTACCAATAGCCTTTAGGGATATTTTTTACCTTAGTTTCTCAGTTTGGGACTTTAAAAATATGCCTCTATTGTGGGTTGAGAGTGTTGACCTTACCACATTCTGTGAATGTGATCAATCCATCGTAGTCCCATTTGCAGTGCACAGTGAACATCCAAATACGGCTATTGTTGTGAGTTACATGCAGATTTGGCATTAAGTAGTGCACGGTTTAAAATTCTACCTAAAGAGTACAAGAAACTATAATATGGCAAACACTACAATCGTTCAGACTGGTATGGAAAGTGCATGTCCTAAACAAAGCAGTAGCTCCAAAAAATTAGAGTAGAGGCATATTAAATTGGGTATGTGCACTAGGCATTGCCAAAGAATGAATGTATGCGGAATGCACACAGTCATTTATGATTTTTTTCAGCTAAGATTTACACAATTTCCATTTGAAACATGGGTAAATCTTGGGTAAAGACTGTGAAAATCGTGGGCGAAAACATTGTTATCGCACAGGCTTTGAATTACATTTTTCAGGAACCTTCAGTGATCATGATGTATTGCTCCTTCATGAAAGGTGCAGAAACAGTACATCTGATCTGATGATATCTAATTAATGTAAGTTAGTCCCAGTAACATTAGAGACTGTCCGATTTTGATTCTAACTATGCCACCACTTAGCTGGTGTATGCCAGGACCTATGCCAGACCTATATAGCAGATTGAATAGTTGTTATTATTATTATTATTATTATTATTATTATACTACAGGATTTATATAGTGTCAACAGTTTGCACAGCACTTTACAATATAAGGAGGACATTACAGTTACAACACAAACCAAGACATGATGGTAAGGAGGGCCCTGCTTGTGAGCATGCTTTTTGCTAGCATGTGATTGGTGGAATAAAGTGATCACAGTTTCACCTTATTTATTAAGCTCAGTGAAAATTCACTTTGCTAAATGAGCTGTCTCGACACCAATAGTAAATGTCTACCCCAGTTTCCTTTATCTGTGGGTTTATTGTTCACTTTGCTGTACAGAAACAATAATCTTTATCTTATTTTTGGTCTATTTTACTACTTCTTTTAGGTAGAAAGCAAACGTCTGGTTATTCTTAATGTCCAATGTTGTATTGCTTTGTATTCAGCTATGTTTCTGTTACAGGGGGAGTACCTGGTGGATTTCCAGGCGGTGTAATCCCAGGTCAGTTTTATTTCCGACCTCCTTGGTCTGTTTACAGGCTTTATGACCTATATAATCCAATGATTCTGTCAGCAACTTACTTGAGAGGGGAAGTCCCGGCCCGGGTTATGTGCATGGTCATTATTGCTGACTCAAGCTTTCTCAGCAACATGTGCATAGCTGGAGGGAAGCCTTTTTTCCAGGGCTGGAAAGGCTAAAGCTGGGTCTGCCTGCTTCTCATAAAAACCCATGGGAGGTTATCTGAACTCACAGTGCTGTCAAATGTTATGTTTAAATCAGGAGATTACATAATAAAGCCTACAGAGCACAGATTGATATATGGGTTTCAGACTGATACACACACCTCAGGGTTAAAAAAGAAAAAGCAAATATTGCCCCCGTAAAAATGTGTACAGTTCCACTGTAAAGAAGAATTTATCAATTTATAACTAAATATATGTTATTATAATTTTAGTTAGTTGCATAGCAACTATAATCCTGCCATTCATATTCCGAATGGAATCTTTGCAGGACTGATATACCCAACTATTCCATCTAAATCTTTCATCTATAGCTGCCAATGCCGCCTCAGTAAATCTGCTCTCCTTGTCTCTCATATGAACATATAGATTCCCATCTTACTTTATTGTTCCTGCCCTCTGAGAGGACCAATTTCAAGATGAAATTGGTGTCGGCAGTAGAGGACTCCCCTAATTCTTGGTTAAAGTGGCATTAAACTCAAGAGTTAAATCTTAGAACTGCATTCAAGTACCTTAATTATTAACAAGAATTTATCATATTTGTGTATCGCTCGGTTGTAGATCCTCTGAATTCATGCTGACACTGTCTTTCCTTCTAGAGCTCCAAGCTCACTCCCGTGATGGAATCTCATGTTTAGTTTACTAGTTTGTATTGAGATTGCAGTCCATCACAGGAGTGAGCTTGGATTGGTGGCTACTTTATAACACACAGGGACCATGGGGAACAAAAGTAGACACCCTTCAGAAGAAAGGACAGTGTCAGCATGAATTCAGAGATGATTTGAGGATCGATCTACTGCGAGCGATGCACAAATAAGATACAGTATTGTTTTAACCCCTGAGATTAGTGTCACTTTAAGATCACCATTCTGTCTCTGGTGCTTGGTAGCTGTGACTAAAGTGTTCTCAAACAGTTCTCCTTTTGGATGCCAATCCATAACATTTACTACCTACCTAGAAAGTGTGCTACTAAGTAGAAACGCCCCACTCTATGGAAAACACTATGGTATTTGTTCTCTATAAGGCACCTGTCCTCTATATGGCCTCTAAGTTATCTGTGCCACGTTATAGATCTATGAACCCGCAAACAGCACAATAGTACTGTAATGTTTCTGGTCTCTTTTCTGAATGATTTTTTCTGCAAGTGGCAGCTCCCATAGACATCTGTTACAACAATTAACTGGAGCCAGAAGTAGCAGGGACCAGAGTAGAATGGACTGGAAACAATTAGCTAAAGCTGCCACTGTGCTCCATGCAAAGTTTTCATAGAGCCTTAACCTGGAATGGACAATACAGTGGTAATTGTAAAGAACATTTTATATTTACCTCCCCCTGTTATTTATGGTTATGGAAATTAATCTGAAAGGGTGTATGAACAAAATATTATTTAGATTTAAAATGAATGTGATGCTTTCCATAGTAACGGTTTTTATAATTAAATAAACAAAGGTTAAGAATAAATAAATAAATGATGTATCATTCTAACAAGCATTCTTGGCCACCGTGAGTATCATTTGTATAGGTTAAAGGAGAATTATGAGTGAAATACATCAAATTATTTGGCTCTGAATTGGAGAGGCAGAGCCAGCTGTCAATTAGGCATCTGTCCCGGCTGCAGCCGGGCTCTGCATTGTCAGCATCTAGCAGGCAATACCCCGCTATATACTGAGTTTTGGGTCACAGGAGGACATTAGCTAATGTCCTCCTGTGACCCTAAAGAGAACTATGGCCAAAAAAGGTTTGGCCACGGTTCTCTTTTAATGGCATGTATTTGTGTCTTTGTCCAACCTTAAAAAAATATTTGGTAATTCATCTTTTAAGATGCTTTAATCTCCTTGCACAATGGTCTACTAGTTTTTTTTACAGAAGTGCATTCCAGCCCAGGGGTGACACTGATTCTTTTAAACATGTTAAATTATGGCTACCCTGTATTTACATCTACAGTAAATGTAGCCTGTAATGCCCGATGAGAATGGGTAATAGTAGTAGCATGCCAGAAGCTATATTGTCTTCATTAGACATAGAAGTGCCATGTGTATGAAGTCATCTGCAGCACTGGGCATCATATGTATCTATAAATGATACATTATTAAGACAGTGTGCAAAGAACCAATTGCATTTCTAGCATAACTCTTGAATTGATTCAGACAAATTGTGAGAGTTAGTTGGATAACTATATATTACTTTATGTGTGTAGGTGCAGGTGGAGCTGTACCAGGTTTGACTACAGGTAAGTCATGTTCCTGTCCATCAGTGCACAAATGTTATTTACTAATAAGCTAATTGAAGCTGGTTAGCAGGTTAGGTAGTAAGGTAGGGGATGTAGACACGGTGACTGATTGTTTCAAAGTAGTAAGGCTACTAACGGTAATTACATGTCCATTTCTTGAGATAGGAAATGGAGTTACAGAGTGAATATTTAAGAATTCTGAGAGATTTCTTTCTAGCTATTAAAGTAAAAAAAAATTGGAATCTGATTGTTTGCTGAGTAATGTCAAGTTTAATTATTCTTATTAAGGACACTGATAACTGAGGCCCTTTGACTATGGAAAAAAAAGACTTCTGCTTTGTAAAGACTAAATAAAAAGGTTTTAAAAAAAAAATCCTTCATAGGTTTTAGCAATGTACAGTATTTTAGCATATTATGCCCGACTTACCTGGTAAATGATCCACTCCAGTGCTGCACTGTCTGCTCTCCCCTCCATCACCGGCATCTCCATCTTCATTCTGTCTTCTTCCGGATTTAGCGTCTTTGACCTACGATGTAACTCCCATATATGCGCATAGGAGTTTCTTCCTTTTGGCACAGGACATTGCCAGCAGACAGGTAGAAGCCTTTTTTTGGCAAGAAAGACTTACACAATGACTCAGGCCCCTTTTACACATGCTGATCAGGAGAGGATCCGTGCATGGATCCCCTCCTGATCACAGCAGTACGGAGCGGATGTCACTGCTGTAACAACTGTGTTCGTACAGTTATTTTCTCCATCTTGCGATGGAGGAAAAAACTGAAACTACTAAACCCCATGTCTGTGTATGGGGAATCGGATATAATCAGACCCATCAGATTACCCCTGATCTGGCACGATGCGGTCCCTGGAAAAGGATCTCTAATCTGTTTGTTTTTCCGAACCTGGCTGGAGTCGGGGGTAACGCTTGTCCGTTTACACAGGCTGCCCATAGACTTATATTGGACCCAATCGGACCGGCCGTGTAAAGGGGCCTTACACAGTGTCTTCTGCCATAAACAAAACTGCCTGTTAGCAATGTTAAAGAACAGATTTTACTTCCAATTTAAAGCCCAACTACAGCCATAACATTTTCTATAGACAAACCAAGGAAGATTTAGAACTTCTGTGAGGTTTTTACTGCTATCAAAACAGATGGTAAAGATTTTTGCCCACAAAAACCACCTCTTAAAATATATCAAAATTTGTAAACTTCACAATAGTCTTAAAGGGGATGCTTCAACAAAAGTTTAAGGTGTCTCCAAAGAACCGAATACAAAACTAAAGATTAAAAAAAAAAATTTTCTAGGAGCTTCTTATTGACCACAAGACCACCTTAAAAATAAAAACATTTAAATGTAGCCATTCATGCTTCCAATACCGTCTTGTATCAGCAAGAGAAAGAATGTCCACAATTATTTTAATAAATCACACGAATTATATGTCACAAGCAACATTGTGCTTGTGACATATCATTATTAAGGGTGTTCCCCATTTTGTGCAGAAGCTATCAGATGACAACTTTCAAACTTAGACAATATTTTTAAGTACATATTGAAAATGTCTGTGCTTGTCTATGTTTAAAAGTTTACATCTGTTGCTGCACAGCAAGAGTGAAGGTCCTTACTAATTATATTGGCATAAGGACAATGGCCTTTTTTGTTAACTCTTTGAAGTTCCTCCAAGGTATACAAAAAGAATGTTGATCATTTATTCATTTGTTACTCTGTATTTTCAAGAGGCATTGTCATGAAATGATTGCTCTTACTGGTACAAGGGTTTATTGGAAGTGTGGCTGGCTAATTTGAAATGTTTTAATTTTTATGGTGGTCTTGTGGCCACAATAGTAAGCTCCTAAATAGGATTTTTTTGTGTTCTGCAGTTTTAGATGTGATTCTTTAATAATTAACTAATTGCATTATCATGTGTTAAGGCATCTGAGTTAGGGCAGCCCATTTATTTTAAATGGGCTTAAAGTACCCTTTAATGCATGAAATAATGGACATGATCCTTTTTGTTTTACGCAGTGCACCACAACACATATACTGTGTGTGCAAATGTGTTGCTTGCCATTTTAGTTGTACATAAAAATGGCAACACAATGCACTGCGGATCCAATGTTAATATGCCTTGCAGTAACATGGTAAAAAGCAATTTGCCACAATGCACGGGTCTGAATAGACCCTACATTTTTCAAACACATTTTCTTTCCATGTTATAATGTTGTTGTTGTTATTACTAGCACTGCATGTCCTTGCTATGTAAAGTGTTGTGGTGAAAGCTGGCAGTATACAAATTAATAATTATCATATTACCTGCATCATTATTTAGGAGCCGTCATTCCACAAACTGGTATCCAGCCAGGAGCTGGCGGAAAACCCGGAAAACTTCCAGGTGGGAAGAACTCACTGTTTTATAATGTTATTGTGTACAAAGTATTTTACTAAATGATACACTGGTAACTTACCAAGACTAACACATTAAAATATATATTTCAGCTTCAGATGTACACCATTAGTTTCTCATATTTCTTAGAGAGTCCAGCAACAAGATCCCCACAAGAGTGTTACTGGCATGTACTAACATTGCTAATGCAAGTTCAAGCAAGTTAACACTCATCCATCTGCATTCTCCATAAACTAGAAAACAATTAATCAATTACAGTGAAACTTTCTCACAACACCCAAAGGAGCTGCAGGTGGACAGACATCCCTGAGAAATATAAGAAACCTAAGCATTCAACAAAAGGGAAGCGAACATAGCTTTACCACGTTCCCTAAGCTAAGTTAATATATATGCAAAGTTAGTATGCTCTACTCCTGTGGTAGAACAACCCCGTATTTAAATGAAGGTATAATGCTCATATTTATATAACATGCTATATAATAAAACAAAGATTATGAGATATGTAAACACTGATTTGTTTTATGAATACTTATTTCTTACAAACCCAGTTCTTCAGAGACATTTGTGGTGTATGTAAAGGGCTTTTTTTTTAGCGTAATAAGGATTAGACCCTTTGTGAAGTTTTTATTGCTGTCCATGTCTTTGCTAGGGATGATCCACCCTTTGTTTGTTCTGGTGATCGCTGTCATCTAAACAGAAATTGAAGGGAAAAGAGGGAAAAAAATTTGGAGTTGCCACTAGAGCAAAGGAAAGGGAAAATCCTCCAACTATCAGGGATTGAAATTCCATTCACTTTGGAACAGATTTCATCTAATTTCTTGTTAGTTGTCCTGGACAGGAAGTGAAGGGAAATTTCCCCAGTGGAACACAGGTAGCAAAAAAATAACCTGGCATGGCTTTTCATCTTTTCCTATTCTAAATTCTGTAAATCTACCAACTAACCTAAAAAAAAGTTTTGGTTTTATATACACTTTAACTGAAGTGCAACCTTGAGAAGTAAGAACTTTGCAAGTTCTTCTGCAGATAGTGTCTAACTAGTCACTAAGTAGGTATCATATTTCTTTATTGTGGATGCTACATGCTACAGTTTTTAGCCTTGCCATAAGTTCGGAGACTAGTATCTACCGAAATAGCGGTGATTTCCTAGAGCAGGGGTAGCCAAACTCTGTCCCTCCAGCTGTGGTGAAACTACAAATCCTATGATGCATCTCTCTCCAGGAGTCATGTCTGTGAGAATCTTGCAATGCCTCGTGGGATTTGTAGTTGCACCACAGCTGGAGGGCCAGAGTTTGGCTACCCCTGTCCTAGAGGTTTACCTGTGTTTTGTAACAAACAGTGAATTTTTCCAAGAAGCAAAGTGGGGTTCACTGGCCTGAAGAACCTCTACTAACTCAACCCCAAGTTAAATATATGTTTCATTTATCAAATGGAAATGATGACAGTAACAAAAAGACATCATGGGGCTGCTAAACCAATGTTTCCATCTGCACTGTAATCTTAAAGTTCCTTTATAAACTCTGCAAAGCAACATATTTTGTTCTTAAATCACTTACAAGAACACATATGTTAATAATTGTGTATTTTGAAAATTCCAGGTGCTGGAATTCCCGGGACCTTTCCTGGAGGAGGAGTGCTGCCTGGATCAGGTAGATTTATCCACCCTAGCTCTGCAGCAGTAGGATACAAATTACTTAACAGACAAAGCTAAGCAATTTGTTATACAGTTTAAAGAAAGGCAAATAGTGGCATCATGCAGCTGTTCAACAGCACATTACTGTGTTGGTTTGCTTTAAATATAGTTTGTTGTAGACATACCCTGTTTCCCCGAAAATAAGACCTACCCCGAAAATAAGACCTAGTACTATTTTTGGGAATTGCTAAAATATAAGACCTACCCCGAAAATAAGACCTTGTGTGTTTTTTTGAGCCAAAAAAAATATAAGACAGTGTCTTATTTTCGGGGAAACACGGTATTTTTTAAATCTTTCATATGACCTGCCTTCAGTAAGAATTAATTAGTTGGATGACATTATTGAGAAAGTATATAACCTGACCCCAGACAGTATCCTTGTATTCGTATATGGGCACAGTTACCCTCACATTTGGGAAATAAAGGTGTGTTTCTAATCTGAAACCTATACTCAATCTTTGTTGCTAAAGCTGAACTCTGCGCACAATATTTTTAATATATGTGACCTGTTATCATCTCTTTAGTTATGCAGTGTATTCATATATATTTTCTTAAATTTGTTCTCCCCTATATGCTGCAGCACCTAATTATAAGACCACCTGAAACTTCCCCACAAGGTCACCGCTGCCGCCCCGAGGCGCTCTGCCGCCCCGAGGCCGGGCCTCGGTGGCCTTGTGGGAAATCCGGGCCTGCCTGCACTTACAGTTTCTCCTTAGTCCCCCTGCAAAGTATAAGAATACCTCTTGATCCTGCCAGTGAAGTCCACCTAATACAGCTTCCTGTGATGGGGTGACAATGATACTGCATGGCACCTAAATTAGAGCAGAGTTGACACACTCATGCAGGCTGTGTATCAGTATTGTCACTGCTGATTCATCTGCCTGTAGCTTGTCAATCAATACCTGGCCACGCCTAGCCCCATCCACTGCTTTCTGGATTGACAGCACTGCCTCTGTTGCTGAAACCCTCCCACTGTGATCTGCAGCGTCTGGTAGA